GGTAAATGCAAACTTTAAAGTGAGTACATTCTGTTAGCTAAGAAGAAAGAAAATATTTTTCTTTTAAACTGCTTTATATATATATATTTTAAATCCTAAAAAGCCCACATCCCAGAAATGTTTCTCAGTCCCATCCCTACTCATTATTCCCAGCATGCCTTAATTTATGCTTTTAAGGTCTCTCATTGAGACTATGAACAATCTTTACTAGTCTTTTTGCTAAGAATCTACTTTCATTCCATTTCATCTTCACAGCTGCCAGATTATTTTCCTGAAAACTGAGAAAAGTCCTTGCCCTCATGGAGTTTACATTCTAGTAGAAAGGGCCAAACACACACACACACACACACACACAACCACAAAATTAACACGTGATAATGAGCTATAAAGAAAATAAAAACAGGTAAGAGGGAACAGTGATTGTAAATATGGTATTAATGCTCTCCAACTAAGGACCAGCAGTCAAACCAAGTTTGGTTTAATGTCTACTGCAAAGAGCTAGAGAACACAGGAAAAACAAAAAACAAAACAAAAAACCCAAAACCAACAACTTAGGGACTCTCCGTAAAATGGAACTGTAAAAGATACTACAGAATAGGTTTCATGTTATATGATTTATGGGAAGAATCAAAGCTTTGCTCTGGATTGAATACTGTCAAAGGGCAGAGATAATTCTGTAACTGAGTATTTTAACATAATGTACAAGGCAGGAAAAATAGGATAAGGTTCAAGAAAGTGGCCTTATACAACAACTAAAATGTTTGCATGTTTTTTGTAGTGTTCAGTCATGATTATGGAGGGGTCCTGTATTCATCTTGTCTATTATGGTCACTGAGTGTCCGTGCCTCATATTTGGTTTTTTAGATTATTTATGTTCAAGAGAACACTGACTTACTTGATGCCAGGCCAGCTGCCAGTATCAAGGCCTAGCTAACAGTATGAGTTTAGCTCCTGGCTGTCCAGGTCTGTTTTAATTTTTCCACTAACAAATATAACAGCTGATACAATTATTTCATACTTGCAGTTTATAATTCTTACTCATGATTATTTCTTGGATATTTATCAGTATTACTACTTAGGGTAATGAGTTAAAAAAAGTATTACAGTTTTGGTGAAGTAGCAGCTTACTTAATCACTCAAACTATGCAAGACTTTCTGCTATATAGCGTGTTAAAGAGAAAGGGGGAGTGATACCTAGACTTCAAGGAATTTGCAATTTTTCTGGGGAGTAGTATGAAACTATATCAAAAGTGTCAGTCACTTGCCTCATTCAACTCTGACAATTAGTTCCAGATAAACTGTGTAGTTTGATGAGTCTGCATGGACAGGCTATACAGGAATCACATACAAATCTTGTGAAAATAAGTAAGATTACAGGACTCCAACTCCAAAGAGTCTTATTCAGCACACAATCCCCAGATTTATTATTATTTTTTTCTTTTATTGTTAAGTGGTATTTACTGGATGAATATACAAATTTGTTTATGCACTCTTACTGATGGATGTCTGGGCTGTTTGCAATTTTTTGGTGCCCATACATAAATTTGGTATTAGCATTTTTTGTACAAGTATTTTTGAGACTATGTTTTTATTCCTTTTGCATAAATACCAAATGTGTGATTGCTAGGTCATACCGTAGATATATGTTTGATTTGTATTAAATGGATAGGCACATAATTTTGATAAAAATAAACAGATTTAGAACTGACCAAAATGCAGCCTAGAAGAGATGACATAGGATTGCTATTAAGTCTTAAGCAAACTCTGTCATTCACTAATGAAGCTCTGGGCCCTGTTAAGAGCCTCTTACATGCAGGCAATGGGATGAAAGCTGTGTAGATACTTGTAGATAAATGTAGTTAAATGTAGTTTGGTAGTGAATAATGGGTATGTGAAAAATTTCGACATATTTTTTGCTTCTAATTTTCTTTGAATTCTATTTCATTATGATTAAGCCCTGAAAGGGGAATTCCTGAAAAGGACAGACTTAAAATCACAATAATTTCGGAGAAAGGCCAGTAAAGCACAGTTTGATGACATGTTTGGGTGAAGGCTGTTTGAGGCAGGCCCTTGTAGTAGAAAATTGTCTTGCCTCAAAAAGTGGTGTCTAAGCTGATGGTCCCTGAGTATTTCACAGTAGTGTTTTCTCAATAAACTTTCTCAGGTTATCCTTAGCTTTTAAAATCACCTGCCTGTCACCTGTCAGCAGGTAACCAGACTTCACTTGATAGCATGAGAAAGGAACTGGAACTTTTTACTTTCCCACCAGAAACATTTACCTATCTGTCTCCATCTTTTATCCTTTTCTCTTTCTCTCCAAAGACATTTACCTAAAGCAGTCTATTTTATCTTCTCTTACTTTTTTTAAATCTACCTGTATAATGGTTTGAAAAGCCTCTCCAAAATTCATGTTGAAATTTAACTATCATTTTAATATTAAGTGCTGGCACCTTTAAGAAAAGTGTACAAGAGTTGAACACTTCACCTTTATATGTGGATTACCACTGCTATCTTGGGAGTGATTTCTTGATTAAAAAAAAAATGAAGACCAATCTTCTTTTCGTCTCTTGAAAGCTCTTATGCCTTCCACACTGTTATAAACACCTAGACATTATTCTTGGACTACACAGCCTCTAAAATTGTGGGCCAAATAAAATCGTTTATAATGTATTGTCTGTGATATTTTGTTATAGCATTAGAAGACAAAGAAACTGGCACCATCAATATCCAACTTTCCCCTAAGAGCTCCACTCTGAAAGCTAATTCCTCCACACCAGGTAGCGCTCTCTGGTTGCTGCCCTTATCTCTGTAGTTTCACTATAGTTAAAACTATAACAGCAATGGCCGATTTCCTCTTTCTCATCTGGGCCATCAAGGTTTGTCACACGGACTGCACGAGTAAGTCTAAAGTATATGATGGATAGACAATTCCCAGGTGCAAATGATAGTCATCGAACGCTTGCAGCCTGTGACTCACTGGTTTGAGAAATAGTCTCTCTTTTGCATATAGGTATTTTGCTATATTTTCATTTTTAAATAAAGTTGTGGAAAGGTCGTAGTATGCAACAAGTATGAAAACAAGTGGGGAACACAGTGTGTACCGCACAACCACCTGGGCTCTCCCGTGATGACGGGCGCTGTCACCACAGAAAGCGAAATCTACCACTCCCCCCAGGGGACAGAAAGGCCCTTCCGGTGGAACCCAGTTCGCGGTTCCGACAGGGCCTCAGTTTCCAAGTTGGGGGCGAGGATGGAGCGTAAGGTGAGGAGAAGAGCCGAGCGGCTCCCGGCCAATGGCAGCGGTTGAACTTACACCTCAAAACGTCAGCGCTGCTGTGGAAACGGATGTCACACAGCTGGCTCGGAAGTCTCCTCCCGCTTCAGAAGCGGGGCGCGCGCAGCGGTCTCTGAGAAACCTGGGGCGACGCGAGGGAGAGGCGTGCGCCGCGCCCCGGGAGCTCCTCACCCTCGCCGGCCACCTCCCAG